GTTAAAGTAAGATAAATACCATTGAGACAAGGGGAGCTAGTTCACACACAGATCAGATTATTGCCTTCTATTCAGGATGCTATAGTTAAGGTTGTGGCAGGGTTTCCATTATAAACTTATCTTGGCTCTTCTCTGGGATTTTAGGGGGGCTGAGCGGGGTGTCTGTGTTTTTTGTGCCTGCTGGAACAAAGGCAGTTCTCTGGCCAGCTGCTGCTATGAAGAAACCCCCAGGGTGGGAAAGCTGAGTCTAAATAGGTTGATTACCTCCTTTTCCCTCTTAGCAGCCATCATTTAACAAGGGACGCGAGGACTGTCCCCAACAAGGGATGGCCAAAGATACACAAAGGCTTCAAGCCATGTGGGTATCTCCATTCAGACAAGATCTTTGCATTTATCTTTCAGGGAGTCAGAGCTGAGTGCTTCATGCATCATGTTGCCCTCAGTTTCGCACATGTGCCTCCTCCCAGGCAGCAGCAGTTCTGGGAAGCAGCTCGGCCTTTGCATGGTGTGGATTGTTTCTTCCCGGTTGTGTTTCTACTTCCTGGTAGCTTTGAGGGTCTACAGAGTTATCATGGACCTGCCTTTCCAGGGAGGTTTTTTGTTTAGGTTATGTTGCTCCCCAAGTCTCAACCTTTCCAGTCCTAAGTTGAGCAGTGTTGAGAAGTGTTGGCTCCTGGGTTTTCCAGTGCTCTTTACAGTTTTATTTACCAATGAGGGAAAGAAAATGCAGTGCTTGGGGCTGACCCAGCACGGAGGGTGCTTTTTTCTCCATGACAACAGTAAGCCGTCACTAATTCTCAGTGTGGTTATTTGCATGTCTAATTGTTACTGCAAATGCTGCTTGCCCTCAGTGCAGCTTTAGAGCAGAGCTGTATCTATCTTTCCCTGTACCAACCTGGTCCTCTCACACTGCCCAGGTTTGCTTGGGGATGTGACCATTTCTTTTCTGCCCTGAGGCTTGTGGCACAGGCAGTGAAGCTTCAAACTGTGTGGGTGAGATGTTGGCAGCTTGAGTTACATATGTATTGTCCAGCTAGGGACTGGCAGGTATTGATGGGTTTAGGATGTGTCTGATAGCAGCTAGCTGCGTGAGCTGGGCTGCCTTGATTCTGTGTCTTTAACTGAGGGCAGTAGTACTACCTGGGGTGGGGATATCATTAGGATTGACTACTGTCCAGCACTTTGTTATATATGTTACTAGTGAGAGGGGTATTACTACCTATGCTTCTCCTTCTGCCACTGTTTTCTGAACGTTGACAAGCTCTTTACTTGCTACGAATTAGTCTTTGTATTGCAGTTGGTATAATATCTCTTCCTCTCCTTCCATCTCAGTTATGCTCCCTAGTCCCCACTTGCTCCAGGTTGAAGTCTCCTAACCATCAGCCTCCTCAGCAAGATCTTTTCTCCAGGGCTTCCCATTCCGAGGCACTGTATTCCAGGTCTGTGTGTCAGACATGGTTTTACAAGCCCTTGGTTTTCATCCTTCTGGGAAGGGCACACACGTGATCACGTTGGATGGTCCGTCCAGCCAAACTGCTGTATCTGGGATCTTTGTTAGGAGCACATTGCTTCTGGTTTAGGATTATCTGTCTCTTAATGCAGGTGCTGTGGCCTGATCAGCTACACACCTGCAAAGCCAGCTAGGCCCTGCAGTGGCTGTGCTGTGGTTGCAGTGGTTATTACCAACCATTTGGACAGGGAGCTTCATATTGGAAGCATTTATTGTCAAACTCCAAGCAGTGTTTCTGAACTGAGGGGATTGCTTCCCCGTTAGATTTTCACCATGTTTTATTTGCTATATCGTTAAGTTTGTCAATGTCTCCAGACTTAACTGTTGCAAAGATAAAAGCCTTGATAGTAATGGCTTTGTGGCTGGCAGGTGCTCATTTCCTGTATTATTTGAGATTATTCCTTTTGAATCTCACTGTTATCTCCATTATTGACACACACTGTAATTTTCAAAATTGTCCACTATTAGGTCTCTGACTCTGGTTTTTCCCTTCTTGTCTGTGAACAGCAGCCTGCTTATGTTCAGTTCAATTTGGTTTTAACCCATTCAACAGTTACACAGAGTTTCTTTCAAGCACTAGCAAGAGAATAGCAGAAAACCAATAGCTCCCCTCCTCCTTCCTGAATATGTTATTTAACTCGGCCTCAATATTGCAGGGCTGTTGACGTTTCAATGTAGCATGATTAAGAATCTTGTGCCCCTTTGATGTTGATAAGTAACTAAAAATGTATTAAAAAACCTAAAGCCATGTTTTAAGCTCCACTCCTTTTCTTGGTCTTGAAACATTTCATGAACACTCCAGTGGTTCTGCTAAGGAGCTGTTTCATTTGGTACCAAATATTAGCTCTAATATTTAAGTGGCTTCACTTTCTGCTTTGATTTGTCAGGTTTTTTTTTCGTTAATCTGAAAAGATTGCAGTGACATTTATATAACGGGCTTTGTTTGATTTATAAAAGATTAAAGTTAATTTATAGTTATTATCTGTCATTAATCCTCATACAGGAAAATTGTTTGCATTTTTTATTTAATGGATATGTGTTTCGTTTTATCTCTACCCAGGATGAGTCAGAGCATGTATTTAAACAAGAAAACAGCATTTTGCTTCTCATCTGCTGCAAGGCCATAACTAAAACAATACTTTGGAGTCCTTTAACAGGCCCAACAAAAAATGCTTTGTAAGCAATACCCCATCATTTTATAAAAGAAAACATGATAAAGCAAGTGACTGAAAGATGAACTTTGCTAGTGTCATGTATTCTTTAAAAAGGAATAAAATTCAGGCTTAAGTTAAATGCTGTGCGTTACACAGATAGCAGAACGAACTGTTGTCTGTGAACATTTCTGGCACACACCAGTTCTGGAAGGATGTGGTCAGTGTGGTGTTAAAAGGCGGTGCATGGCACTGCAATGACTTCCCTGCTGCTCTGTGAAGTGACAGTTCTGGTAGACCAATGTAGTGGTGTTATCTGTCAGAGAAATTACATCTGATAGAACAAGAAGGATGTTTAGAAAGCTATTGATCAGATTAAAAAGAAATAGTGAAATGAATGTTTTTCTGTATATCCTCAATTTATCTATTTGGTTTTGGTGATGATTGCATTGTAATACAGCAAAAGGGAGGAAAACAAAGCTGAGTAATTGGGTAAAGAATGAGTTATTAGAACAGTGTTTACTTATGGTAACAATAATTTAGTTCAAACAATTGAGGGATCTGAGGAGGGAAAGAGACCTTGGGAGAATCACTGGAATTAGAAGTTTCTGAAGATACCACAGAACTTGCATCTCTGCAAAACCACCTCATTTAAAATGACAAAGGACAAAGTCCAAATGAGACAAAAATTCTAGAGCAAGTTGCTAAAGAGTTGTGTTTAATGTAAAAGCAGAGTGAAGTGGTGCAAGACCCTTCCTCTCTGTTGTCTTTTGAGGTGATCAGAAACAAAGTGAAGGCAAAACTCATCATAGTACTGTGTTTTTCAGCCTTTCTGACTCTTACCAGGATCCCCTGTCTATCTTTTGTGATCTCCCACCCATTCTCTCTTTAACGTGCGAGGCTGTTTACTGCACTGTTTCTCTCTGATGGTTTCTCATGCAGTGCTGAGGTAGCATATTTTAAGTAGCAGATGAGATAAAGGAAAAACCCTACTGAAACCCTACGTTTAGGAGAAAACCATGACCTGGGTCAGCTTGCACTGAAATGTGGGGCCTTCTGAGGCTCTGCAGCACAGTTTGGTTCTGTTTTTGTAGAATAGGGACTTGAGCGTGTCTGTCAACAAAGTGGAAGAGGAGAAGGAGGGGAAAGCATTTAACACTGAACACTTAAATAATGCAGACATGCTGTCTAGGCTGGGAAAGATAGAGGGAAGGGAAATGAAAATATAGTGAATCCTTGCTACTCTGAATAGACAGGGATAATTGTGCTTTTGTAGTGCTGTATATACTTGCCAAGGCAGTCTGATCAGTGTTTGTCTTGAACCAACTAATCAATGTGGTGTTGAGTTCAGTGCTATTTATCAGGAGAGCTGAAACAAGGAACTAATCCAGTAAATTTCATTTGTTCTCTGGAGTGGGCTTTGTTTTCATGTTAGCTTCATGTAGCAAACATTGACAGTACATATTGTTTTCCTCATTAATAAAACTTGGAACCTGGGATGTTCCCTGCAGCAGTCAAACCATGTCCAAGACAGCTGAGCATGTGTCTTTCTTTGACTCATCCAAAGGTCAGAGCATGCACTGATCCAACTGATCCTTGTGGGATCTCTAGCTAAATCCTTCTGTCTTCATGGCCAGTGTGGACGAGGAGCTGGAGGTAGCTGCATTTAACTCTGTTGCTCGCATGACAGTTACCTCCATTTTCAGCTGGGACTAATAGTTTTCAGCAGAGCTGAAGCATGTTCTACTTCAGGAGATGTGGATAACTTATTCCACTGCTGTGCCTGGTTTTGCTTAACCTGGAGAGAAGTGTGTAGGCTGTCAGAGAGATCCTTCTGGATACATTCAGGCCCAGTCTTCACTGTTGAGTATCTGCCTGCCTTTTGATATATTGTGATTATTTCTTTGCATTGCTCTGACAACTCACCAGTTGGATGCTGTAAAACTGGGATCAGGATCCCTGGCTGACATGCCTCCTTGTGCAGAAGCAGCATTTTGATTCACTTAAAATGGAAAGTCTGCAGAGGCTTTGTTTCACAGTGGCTGGGCAGCCGAAGACTTTGAACTCTAAGTAAAGCTGCTGCAAAGGGACATTTAGCCTCCATGCCAAAATTTAAAGGAAACAAAATGATCCTCATTTTGTTGAAGCCCTTTAGTACTGCTCATACTGCAGTGTCTAGTTTCAATATGATTATCTTTTTTTAATTCAAAGTGGTGCAGTGAAGAATGGATGCATGCCTGCCTGTCTTTCTGCTTCCAGACCTCCTCTGCACCTCCCTTATGAATCCAATAGCAGTTGAAGAAAGAAGAGGAAAAAGAACAATTCTACTATTTTGGATATACTGTCACAAAGCAGGATTTTTATTTCAACAGTATTGAATTGAACTTGCACAATAATATCACTGTTATAAGCCAGTTTTCAGAAACAGATAGTTATCACCAAGCCCTTCTCAACTAAGATGTGTTTTAGAGACACTTTCTGATGCATTTTCTTCCTATAGTGTAGAAAGAACTGTCAGTGCAATCTGCTTGGCCTTGCCATAACAGTCTGATGCTGAGAATCCTTTTGTCATCTGGCCTTCCAGAAGGGAGACTTCAGAGGAAACCTGCATCTTGGAAAGAAGCATGCTCTGCAGTCGGGTTTCCCCACTTACTGGCTGAGTTCTTGCATTCAGTATCCTGTGCTTAGCATTTTCAGAGTGGTGAATAGAAGAGGTATCAAATGGTGCATTATTGGTTATTTACTGCTTTCAGGGAGCCAGGAGGGGGTCTGGTAGCTGCTGTGGATGGGGAATGAAAGCAGTCCTGTATACTTCGGTGGTATCCGATTTGGAGTGCGGCATTGCCAGCTTTGGGTCTTGAATCTCTTCCCAAACTTGCATCCTTAAATTTCTATTTGGGTGTGTTGGTGCAGTTTTCTTTCAGGCAGAACCCTCTGTATGTTTATGGCTGTCCTGAGAAAAACAATAGAGACTGGGCAACTCCCCTCTTCAGTCACTGAGATTGGACTGGGGAAGAATCTGGCCCCAGGTAGGAAGTCGAGCATTTAGCTTTCCTAGCTCAGTTTTCACTCACGTCAGGGCTCTGTATCCTTCCCAAATGCATCTCTGGAGACTCTGCAGGCTTTTTGTTCTTTGTCTTTTCCTGGGGTGCTGTTTGAAGTGCTGAGAGCCTGAAATTCTGATGCAACAACTTTCTTGTTCAAGTGTCTAACATTGCTCATGGGCCTGAAAGTGTTGCTAGCTAAAAGCCACTTGGGGAGTTTCTGCCGTAGAGAAGCTGAGGTAATAGGAATATAATTTTTGAGACAGATTACCTGTTAACTAAAAGTTTCAGGACTTTGTACCCTTGGGGCAGAAGTTGGAGTTGTGTGTGCTGATCTGGATCTCTATCTGGTACACATGTTGAGGGTACTATAGCAACATAGCCCATGCAGGCTTGTGATAACCAAAGGAAACTCACTGGGGGATAGGAATTGTCGGCAAAAAACTTTCTTGTTCTTTCTGTATGTAGCCCTTTTTTACCAAAGTATCATGGCTCCAAGAACCTATAACCTTATGGTATGCCAAACAGGGATGAGAGCAGTAAGACACCTCCATTTAACAGGTGATGGGCAGAAACACATAGATCTGGTGCTTGGAGTAATAGGCATGTGGGAGCAAGCTTTCATCGACCTACTCCTTTGCTTCATTGATCCGTATCTCCAGCCAGTTGCTTGCTTTCTCTCTCCTTCACACAAGTGTCTCCTGTATCCCACCGTTGCTTCCTTTAAATCTTCATGCTCACTCTTTGCATCCCCCTCAGTGTCCTCCTTGTCAGTATTGCCCAGGGCTGGGAGGTGCTGCATAATTCTGTCTTGCTGCCCTCACACCTTCTCCCATCTGAAAAGAGAGGAGGGCACAAAGTGAACGTACCTTTGCTGTTGTGGGTGGCTGGGGGCTTGGTGCAGTATGGTCTAGCCTGTTGTTTAGGGTGCTGTTGTGAGTAGCACAGTTGTGTACCAGATGTCCATAGCCTTGTCTGGGTTTCATCTCGCAGTTGCTGTAGCTGTTGCCTGGCTGCAAATGGTGCACGTCACCCCAAGCAGTTTGCATAGCTGTGGGCAGAGACCAGGCAGGTTTCCTCCCAAAAGTGCATGTGACAACCATAAAACAATTAAATGGGCAATGTGCAACCAAGGGTCAGGAATTCTTCTCCCATGAAACCACTGTGTAATATGGACAGAGTTAAGTTAGAGCCATGGCAGAATATAGCAGTTGATGGTGTCATTTACTTGCCTCTCATTGGGAGTTTGAATGTGTGTAGAGGCGCAGATCACCTCTGCCTGGTGCTCTTTGTGTTTGCTCTTTGGTAAATCCTTCCAGTGCCTTTGAAAACTGGAGTATCCCCTTTTCAGGGGTGACACTTGGGTCTGTCAGATGCAGGCTGAATCTCATATAAAGGTTTTGGGTTTGGCCCAGAGGACTCCCTGGATTCCAGAGCAGTGGATGAGTCAGCTCTTCTGCCTGATGTTCCATGGAAAAAAAAAAAGGACTGTCTTTTGAAGGTATCCTTTATGTGTACATTGCTGCCAGAGCATCACTTCCATTATCTGTGTAATGAGATTTTCTGTCCCTGTGCCTGTTAATTACTTACCTTTGAGGGTGCATTCATAAAGCAACATGACTTAGGAAAAATGAAAAGCTTTTGCAAAGGAAGGCTGCTTTTTGCTCCTGTTTTTTTTGCCCAGGAGTTTGAGTACCTCCAGACTCGAAGGGATTGCCGTGAATGGGAGATTTCACAAATAATGTTCAGCTCACAGAAGGCGAGGCACGAAAGGAGATGTAGCAGTTACAGTGTTACATCTTGTACAAGGATTTCTGCCCAGGAAAGGCTGAGGGAAAGGAGGCATAACAGAAACCGATACAGAAAGGCTTAGGCACCGAAACCTCGAGTGGAAACAGGACATGAGCTTGAAGTGCAGCATTCCTTTCATGGCAACGGAGTCTGCAAATGGTATCAGCGGGTTCATGCATGGTCCAGGATGATAACAGTTTGTCTGATATGGGTGCGGTTTTTATCAGGGTAGGTAGTAAACAGCTGCACAGAACTTAGTCATGCTTATGAAGTCAAATGCAGGCTGCTGTCTCCCAGTTGGCTGGTTCCTGAGCTAGGGTGGAATATCTGAAAGCATCTGAATCATTTAGAACCACAGCTCTTAATGATTCTCAGATGGATACTTGCTCCTTCAGTTGGCCAGTTGTTGCTTCTCCCTGGTTGTCTCTACAGTGCTGTAGTTATGTCATGTGGAGAGTAGTGCCAAGGGTCCCTGTACTAAACCTTGCTGTCCAGGATAGTGAATAATGCAACAACAAAGGGAGGACATTCAGTAGCCACTGTTCTTCTTGTGAATAAGTGAGTGTATTTGTAGAGCAAAGGCATGGACAAGGTGAAGGTTGGCATACCCACACACCCTTCAGAGGGAATATGTGGAAAGGAAAAGGAAGTTGATGCTGGACTCAATTCTGCTGCTTATTTGTATATGGGTAGATCTCCCTGTGAACAGCCCAGGAAAGAAAAGGAACAGAACAGGATGGTTTGGAGGTGAGATCAGCCCTGAGGAGCTCACTGGCTGTCCCTAGCCTCGAAGAAGAGCTGGGTCAGCCAAGACTCTTAGGACCTCAGGCAGTTGCCAGCATTTCCATCTGCTACCACAGTGTGTGCCTCTGCTCTTCCCACTCGGGTCTGGATTGTGCAGGAGGGATACCTCTGACTATCCCAGGAAGTTCTCCACATTTTCTTCACCAGGAGGGACTTTCCAAACGTAGTGAAAGACACAACCTGTTGAACTGGGGGCAATTCCCTGTAATTCCACGTGTCTAAAACCTAGAACATAGATGGAAAGTGCCCAGCTCCTTCTGGAAACTCAGTGAAATTCTTCAGATGAGTTATTCTGAAAGGGGGAGCAGGGTAGCAGGTTTGTTGTAGAAATCAGAGGCTAAAAAGAGGTTGCTTTATATCTCCCATGTCTTTCATTCCCACTTATTTGGCCTTGTTCCTTTGGGTGAGCTGAGTTGCCCAGTCAGACTTTGCCCAGCTGCATGGGAATCTTCCACACAGCTCAGAAAATACCACTCATTAGCCACACTTCGGTAATGTCAAGAGGCTGAACGTGGGGTGAGCACTCACATTTGCACAGATGCACACAGTTACGTGCAAGTGCACACAAAGAGCTTGCAGTTAAAACCTACATGCCCGTCTCTTTTAACAGAGGAAGACAGCCCCAGCTGTGTATACAGCTTTGTGTTTCCCTTTGATCTGTGTTTGTTTCCAGTGTTCCTCATAGACTGGATCCTGGCACTCCTCAGAGCTGCCTGCTCTCTTCCATGTTTGCAGCTGCATAACTGCATCCAGAGAAGCCTGCTGGGGTGACTGGGGTGTAACTGGTTTCAGCAGCTTCGGGTGAGGGTTCATCTTCCCTGCAACCCATCTTGTTGTTTACTTTCTCCTGTCCTTTCCTCCCCAGCCCACACCACATGGGACTGTTTCATTCTGCTAGTGGAAACTCTGCCTTGCAGATGCCTCAGAATCTTCCCTTTCACTTTGCCTCCCGGCTCCCACACAAGTGGCATTGCTGCCCTTTTACAGTTCCATGCATTAGCTACAGCTGCCACTCTGGAGCAGATCTTTTGCTCTGTCACCAGGGTCAGAGCTCAGAGAGGCAAAATTCCCCTTCGCTTTCCAGAGACTGGGCATGCTGCCCCTGCAGCTGGCTTGGGCCCTGTGCCCGAGGGAGGGCAAGAAACTGTACTCTGCATACTTAGGATGTGTTTTGTGAAGCTGTCAGAGTGCTGCAGGCCCCTCTCAGCCCTTTGGGTCTTTCCCTTTGCCCCAAGGGAGGACAATCTCTGTCTAAACCTTTCCTGACCTGATGCCAATCTAGCATGGCCTTAAAAACCTTTGGCAGCAGGATTGCCTAGGGAGGCAGTGCAACCTATTGCCCTGATTAACTGTTGGTACCATTAGAAAGTTTGTTCTAATGTTAAACTATTAGGAAAATTATTTCAGTGTTGTTCTAAGAGAGAAAAAAAGCCATGCAAACTTGTGTGTGAAGGGGAGAGTCCCAAATGCTTAACATAGTAATTGGCTTTCATAGCGAGAATCACTGTTAGACCCTAGGAGTATGTTGAGGAATTCTGGCTGGGATAAACAAATAGGGGAAAACATAATTAGTTTTCCTTTTCTTCATACATGTGTTTGCTGCTTCACCTACCCAGAAAAGCAGTGCTGATGCCAAAAGAAGTGGGAAACCAGGCAGGAACACTTTTTCTCCACTGGATATTCTATGTAGTATGACCCTCTTAGGAAATGCGCAGAGCCTGTTCTCTGTGGCGTGACCTTGGTGGCCTTCTATGATGGGGCTACAGAACTGATGGACAGGGGTAGAGCAGTTGATGCCATCTACCTGGACTTGTGTAAAGCGTTCGACACTGTCCCACATGACATCCTTGTCTCTAAATTGGACAGACATCAATTTGATGGATGGACCACTCGGTGGATAAAGAACTGGCTGGACGGCTGCACACAAAGAGTTGTGGTCAATGGCTCAATGTCCAGCTGGAGATCAGTAACGAGTGGTGTCCCTCACGGATCGGTGTTGGGACCGGTCTTGTTTGACATCTTTGTCGCTGACATGGACAGTGGGATTGAGTGCGCCCTCAGCAAGTTTGCCGATGACACCAAGCTGTGTGGTTCAGTTGATACCCTGGAGGGAAGGAATGCCATCCAGAGGGACCTTGACACACTTGTGAGGTGGGCTGATGCCAGCCTCATGAAGTTTAACCATGCCAAGTGCAAGGTCCTACAGCTGGGTCGGAGCAATCCCAGGCACAGCTACAGGTTGGGCAGAGAAGAGATTCAGAGCAGCCTTGTGGAGAAGGACTTGGGGGTGTTGGTCGATGAGAAAATTAACATGAGCCGGCTTCAGTGTGCGCTTGCAGCCCAGAAAGCCAACTGAATCCTGGGCTGCATCAAGAGGAGCGTGACCAGCAGGTCGAAGGAGGTGATCCTGCCCCTCTACTCTGCTCTTGTGAGACCTCACCTGGAGTATTGTGTGTAGTTCTGGTGTCCTCAACATAAAAAGGACATGGAACTGTTGGAACAAGTCCAGAGAAGGGCCATGAGGATGATCAGGGGACTGGAGCACCTCCTGTATGAAGATAGGCTGAGAAAGTTGGGGCTGTTCAGCCTGGAGAAGAGAAGGCTGCGTGGAGACCTCATAGCAGCCTTCTAGTACCTGAGGGGGTCCTATAGGGATGCTGGGGAGGGGCCCTTCATTAGGGACTGTAGTGATAGGACAAGGGGTAACGGGTTAAAACTTAAACAGGGGAAGTTTAGATTGGATATAAGGAAGAAATTCTTTCCTGTGAGGGTGCTGAGGCACTGGAATGGGTTGCCCAGGGAGGTTGTGAATGCTCCATCCCTGGCAGTGTTCAAGGCCAGGCTGGACAAGGCCTTGGGTGATATGGTTTAGTGTGAGGTGTCCCTGCCCATGGCAGGGGGGTTGGGACTTGATGATCTTAAGGTCCTTTCCAACCCTAACTATTCTATGATTCTGTGACCTCTCTTAAACTTTTTTTGGCTTGGCAAAGCAGATTGGAGGCTTGGTGTTCACTGGGAAAAGCACGTATGGGGATGCATTTCAGTGAAGGGATTGCAAAGGGGGAGAAGAAGAGAAATCTTCTTCTGGTGTCATATACTTGAAGAAAACAAGGCCTCTGGAGTCATGAGTGTTTCTTGCATTTTGAGTTGTGGGTTTTTTTTACTTGGTGATTTCTGAGAAAAATACATGTGGTGGGGAGCTTGCAGAGTGGGAAGGGGGTTGTATTGTGCATTGGGCATGTTGTAAATGGTTAGCAATAGTCAGAGTGGAAAGCTGTTGTATAGAAGTAGGGAACTTGCATAAGGCCTCCAAGCTGTTTCTCAGGTCTGTGCAGACAGTGCTGCCTTGCACTTGCCCTCAGTCACTCAGGGAAAGCGAATTGCATGAGTTTCTTAAAGGCTTTTTTCTGTAAGGAGCATTTGTTAAAACCATTCTGTTACTTAAAGTACAAAATATGATTAATCTTGCCAGCTCTTGTAATCTCCACTGAGTTCCTGGTGTTCTGTGATTGTGAAATCCAGCACCTGGAGTTAAGTGTTTTCCACACACACACACACCCCCCCCCCCAAACCAGTGTATGAGCCAGGGTAACCTATGCATTTAAAACACAGAAGAAGAAGCAGCATCCTATGTAGATGTTTATGTTTGCTTTTTTAAATCATGTGATATCGGAGTTACTCTGGTGCTTGTTTTTTTTATGGAGCCTAAATTATATTCTTAAAGACATATGGGATTAACAGTGGGACATCAAAAACTAAAGGCCTTAAAGAAATAAGTTTTATGACTGCTTGATTGCAAAGTCAACAATATAACCTTCATCTTGTCATCGTGATTCTGACTAAACTCCTTTGACTTTCACTGAAGTTCCATCTTGGGAATTTCTTGGGACAGTGGTAAAAGCAGAGATCAGACGTTTTTTGTTGCATATGTGGAGAGAGCAGTGAGGGGTTATTGAACCATGTTGAGAAATGTGGCCATGGTAAAGGGGCTGGAGCACCACCTGTATGAAGACAGACTAAGAAAGTTGGGGCTGTTCAGCCTGGAGAAGAGAAGCTTCCAGTATCTGAAGGGGGCTTACAAGGATACCGGAGAGGGGCCCTTCATCAGGGACTGTAGTGACAGGACAAAGAGTAATGGGTTTAACTTAAACAGGGGAAGTTCAGGTTAGATCCAAGGAAGAAGTTCTTTACTGTGAGTGTGGTGAGGCACTGGCACAGGTTGCCCAAAGAAGTGGTGCCCATGGCAGGGGGTTGCAACTGGATGATCTCAAGGTCCTTTCCAACCCAAACCATTCTGTGATTCTATGATCTTGTACTTTGGGCGTTATTAACTAGCAGAGAAAGCTGAATGAAGTAGCTTCCCAAAGTGACCTGCTCCCTGGGCGCTTCAGATACCAGTGTCACTGCTGACCTACAGGAGCACCTGAAAGCCAAGAGTGGATTTAGTTGTGTGGTACTCTGAAGGAATGAGTATTGGCTCCATTTTGTGGCTGAGCAGTGCTTCAGTTCCTCAAGGGATCTACCTGAGGTCACACAAGCTGCCTGCAGACAGGTCTGCTGACTCTCACTGAAAGGTCTTGCCTGCTGCATAACCCTTTCCTGCTTGTGGAGGGAGTTGAAATGTCAGCTCCTTCTGGTTGCTGCTTCACCCTTCCTGAACATACGTACAAACTCTGCAAGCTTCTGGCTTGCCATTTGGCTCTCATGATGAGGAAACTCAATTCAGCCTCCCCCAAGGTGAATGGTTTATGGTGAAATATATATATATATCTATATATATATGTATGTATTCTGTTTTCCTTGTTTGGGATTTGGTTGTTGGTGGTTTTGGTGGTTGTTTTTTTTTTTTTTAATTATCATTATTTCTTAACACTGATGATTTTTGAAACCAGTAAGGATGGGACGCTCTATAGAAAATATCTGATGATGAAGCAGTAATTTATCTTGCCTAAACGCACGAAGCC